AGGGGCACGAAACAGAGTATGTCCTTTTCTACGTGCATCTTTACCCCCACTCCTTAAATAAAGGCAAACGCTCGGTCTAGATATACTATGGCTGTGTTCCAATATTCACTGCCAGTACTGAAAATCTATAGTTTATGTCACGTACACTATAAATTTTCAGTACTGGCAGTGAATATCAGTGAATATCGGAACGCAGCCTATGTCTATGGTCTAGATCAGTGCTCGGATTTAGTTGCACATTTCGGCCCGATTCCGTGGCTCATGCCTATTGCCCCCCACTCACCGCTCGTGCGTTAGCGACGAGTCGCCAGATACGCGTAACTAAGGAGCGCGACGTTTTGTCTCAGGAGCGTCCGTATATAAGAATGTCCAAATAGGATAGTAAGACAATACTTTTCTAAATGCACGGCGAAAATTCTCAAAATTAAAAGTTTTTCTTCAATATTTTATATTTTATTGATATAAAATATTGAAGAAAAACTTTTATTTATAGAAAAGTATTGTCTTATTATTATATTTGGGCATTCTTATATACGGACGCTCCTGAGACAAAGCGTCGCGCTCCTTAGTTACGCGTATCTGGCGACTCGTCGCTAACATATGAGCGGTGAGTGGGGGGCAATAGGCGTGAGCCACGGAATCGGGCCGAAATGTGCAACTAAATCCGAGCACTGATCTAGAACAACCATTCACTAGTATTTTTTTAAGAATAATTAACAAAAGAAAAAATGGAAGAAGTTGAACACAGCATAACAATTATGACTAGTTTACTCATAAAAATGCAACGGAAAAATGCAATTATACTTTTCTTTAATGGAATTATTCAGTTAAATTTGCATAAACTGATTTTTCTAAATAATCTGCATATGAAAATAACGTAATAAAATGTTTAAAAATGAAAGTTTTGCAAGATATCTTGCGAGATAAGTTTTTTATATTTTATGTAAGAAGAAGCTCAGATTTCATGATGCAATAAACAATTGTTTATAACAATTTTTTATTAAGATTTTAACATCAAAATGTTATGTGTGCGAAGTTTTCATAAAGAAAATGTATTATATATAAATTAAATTTTTATAACAAAAATCATTAAAAATAATAATTTAAAGTGACAATTCTTTTAAATCCTTCTTTCTTTTAGTTTATATTTTTTTTATAAAACTACTTTTTTTGTAAAACGTTTACAAATTTAAATCGCAACAAATATTTATGAGAGAGAAAATTAATATGTTAATGAATGAACCGACATTTTAAAGTCAGATATATATTAATATCATAAAATCATCTGTATGATATAAATTCTATGTTATTGTAAAAAGTTATTATAAAAAATGTACATAAAAATATTATGAATAAATGTACATAAATATATTATGAATATACGGTACATATATAAGGTTTAACATTCAATATATAAAATATTGAAAACGTATATTTTCTTCCCTTTGTCTTAAAATTTTTCTATATTTAATCTAATTCAATCATCAAAACAAAAAAAAAATGTTATGCATATATATACAGGGTGTCCCAATTCAAATGTCAAAACTTTAGGAGCGTGTAGCGGACCGATAAACTAAGACAAAAAGTCCTTTAGAGATTTGCTCGTTTTTGCTTCGTTTTGAAGAAAATCGCAAAAAATGAAACAAATAATTTTCACCAAAAAACTTAAAACAACACTAAAATTATTAGATTTATCAAAAAGTATTATAAAATAAAAATTGTAGAACATGGAATTAAGAAAAGAGAGTGAGTTAAAATTTTCCTGAGGTAAAATTAGAGGATTGTAGATAAATACGCGATAACGCGAAATTTTGTTTCTAATCTAATTTTACCTCAGGAGGTAAATTTTAACTCACTCTCTTTTCTTAATTCCATGTTCTACAATTTTTATTTTATAATACTTTTTGATAAATCTAATAATTTTAGTGTTGTTTTAAGTTTTTTGGTGAAAATTATTTGTTTCATTTTTTGCGTTTTTCTTCAAAACGAAGCAAAAACGAGCAAATCTCTAAAGGACTTTTTGTCTTATTGTTAGTTTATCGGTCCCCTACACGCTCCTAAAGTTTTGACATTTAAATTGGGGACACCCTGTATATATTTTATTTTGTTTTTAATTAGCTAACTATCGTCGATAAAAAATGATCTATATATGCATAACGACTTTATAAATAATATCTTTTATTAAAGAAATTTTTTACTATTTACCTTGATTTCTTGAACTTTTGGAAGTGGCAAGATACTTGACATATATTCAAAAGCTTTGAACATGGGATACCATACTATGTAATCTTTCTCTTTCATTAGGAATTTTGACAATTGCCAGAATATTACGGAATCGAGTTGGCCCGCTATCATAAGGTGAAACGCATCATCGATTAATTGGGCACGAGTTAAAACAGGCAATTTTTTAATTTTTACGTCTTCAGAATGCATAAAATCGATTATCTTATGCCAAATAGGGACATCATAATTGACACGATAATATCCTGTTGTGTAAGAAAAAATTATAAATTATAATATTATTATTAATTATAATTTTATAAAGTACTTTATATTTTGAGTTTATCAAGAAATTTTGTAAATATTTAAAATTTTATTTTTTTTATATTTAAAGCGTAAAAAATTTATTAATAAATTAACAAATTATATAAAACAAATTAATTGTGAATTATTAATTATAAGTTAATATAAAATATTATTTCACAATAAATTGAGTATTTTTGTAAAGAAATGTTTTGCAAAGAGTTGCCCAAAAAATTTTGTATAAATTTTAAATTGATTCTGGCAATATAAATAATGATCTAATCATATTCAAACCGAAATTTATCTAATGTAATTTTGAATTCACACAATAATGGTAATACAGACTCTAATAACGGTTATATTTTATATATATATATGATGTTTTCTTTTTTAAATATTCTTATATTTATGTAAAGTATGCGGTATATTGTAACCTGAGTTTTTATTAAAAAAACTGCAAATATAATGTAAACTATAATAAATTCTCGATTATATATAAAATAAATATATAAGTATATAATATATTTATCGGTTAATATTTACCAGTTTGTTGTAAGTTGACTAACATCCAGTTAGGTTGACTAGCATCCAGTCCAGTTTTATTGTTCTTTAAAATAATTTCACGATATGGAACCTGCATTGGCGCAGTTTGTAGCCATACATTATCAAAGATCTTACAATTATTATAATTCGATATAAAATCATCAATAGTAATAAAGGTTAAAGGTATCCACCAATCATTCAGATACGATACATGGACATTTTCGAACAATACTATCATGTTACTGGTATTATGATGATATTCTTTTATTTTTAGTATGGGATAATGCGGTTGCGTCGTCCAAGCATTCATCATTCGTGATATATTAAATTTGCTATCTTCTTGGATTGACGATTCATCTTGGGCAGCTTCCATAGCTGTCCAGAAATTGTCGAGACTTGCAGATTTATATTTACTAAATTCAGAAAATTAAATATTATGTGAAAATTAAATATTAATTATATATTATAATATTAATATTATATTACTATAGGTAATAAATATCTCTCGTAATACATTTTTATCAGACAAAATTATTACTTCATTGAAGTATTATACATACACAAAGAATGCATAAAGTTCTAATATCTAACTTATACATATGCTTATGTTTTTTTAAATTTAATATAGTTTCAAATATATTTATATTATAATTTAGTAAAATGTAACGAAATAAAATTAAAATATAACATTGCAATTATTACTTACTAGGTGCTAAAGTATAATGAGATACCCTGTCGAAACACGTCATCGGAAAGTACGTGTTGTAACATGCGCAATTATATATATATATATATATATATATATATATATATATATATGTATAGGAGAAAGTAAGGTAAAACTGGGTAAGCCGGTCAAACCGGGTACTTCTGTTTCTTCGTGATAAGTGCTACTATTTCTGGCTAACTCGTGTTATTAGTTGTACATTGATATCATCATTATTTTGAGATGAACCGTGCTCATGTGCACACGATATTTCTTTTTTGAGAGAAGTTCAAATTTTTCGGGCCAAAAAAGATCGATATCGAGGCAACAATCGAGTCGTTATAGACTTTTTCTACACAGAGCATCTGCTTCGTTAAATGCAGCATTGCGTTCTGTACATATTAGAGAATATATCGCATTAGTTTTGATCGTCACTTTGTACGCCGGAGTATACTGCCGCCGTGTTTGTTATTTTCTTCGTGTTGGGGCAAAACCGAGTACCTACACACCTCATGTAATGAAAAGAGGAGAAACTGTTATCCTTGTTTTGTCTTCCTACAAAAAGCAGTTGGAAACGAAAACTACCACTCACAAGGGACATTCGGCAACGCGAAAATTCAAAGAAATCTGAAACTTTGCATAATTATAGAGTAATAGGTCCTAATAACAAAACTAATTGTTTAAAATTATAATTTATAATATTATTCAAATGTTACAAGACGCTCATCCCGTTTTTTATATTATTATGATATAATGTATGTAGTATAGAAAGATTATTTACATAACTGGACTATAAATATTATTATTAATATTTTCATTGAAGTATTATACATACACAAAGAATGCATAAAGTTCTAATATCTAACTTATACATATGCTTATGTTTTTTTAAATTTAATATAGTTTCAAATATATTTATATTATAATTTAGTAAAATGTAACGAAATAAAATTAAAATATAACATTGCAATTATTACTTACTAGGTGCTAAAGTATAATGAGATACCCTGTCGAAACACGTCATCGGAAAGTACGTGTTGTAACATGCGCAATACTGCAAATGCTACAACAATTCATATCATTTAATGTATATATAATTAAAAACGTTTATAATAAATTTATTTTAGTACTCTTATAAATAAATGGATATAATGATGACGTAAAAAAAATTAACATAAAAAAATTTTAATTATACATATTTCTATCTATTTTAACCGCAAAATTGTATATAAATAAATTGTAAATAAAATTGTTAAACGCTATTTTTTGTGTTCCTTTATAACATTTCCGTTCAGAAATTTATAATAATAATATTATATTTAATTAACTTTACCTTTGATGTAACGGGGATGAGAGAAAAGTGAATTAATTTCAGAGGGGCTATCGACCTTCGATGTGAGAGGCTTCATAAAACCGGAGTCCAAATGAAGAGATTCATATCGATTTTGGACTGCAAACAAATCCATTATCCGGGAATCTGGGAGAATCTAGAAAAAGTTGAAAGTGAATGATTTATTTATGATTTTCCAGTATTATTTATTAGCTTATTAGCATCTCTTTCATTATCGTCGAAAATGTGCTATATTCAAATATTAATAAAAATATAGTAATATTTTTCTAAGTTTATTCCAAATATTAGGAATTATTCTAAATTGAATATATATCCAATTTTTTGACTAATCTAGTAAGATTTTATAGAAATTAAATACAATCAAATAATCTGCACATCTTATTTTTAACAAAAATAAAGAGAATTTATGAAAAGTATGGAAGGATATATAAAAAAACCTCATTGAGAACTTCTATTCCGAACAACATAGCAATACCATCGTTCAACCAAAGATAAGACCACCAGGATGGGCTGACAAGATTACCAAACAACTGTTGCATCATTTCGCATGCTATTAAACGTGCTGCTACTATTTTGCGCATAACAGGATCTTTTCCTTCTTCATAGATAATATCAGCTTCTCTAAAATGTCGAATTTTTACTATAAGCATGCACAGTGTAATTGTGCTATAATTTAATTATATTGCGTCTATACATCATTCTGAAAAAGTTATAAACCCAAAATTATATACGCGCGCCGAAATCTCATTGTTAGATAAACAGGTTCTTGTTTTTAATAAGCATAAAGGCTAAATTTACTATGTTATATTATTATTTTTTTATATTCTAAAATAAAACTGTGTTTTGTTCGATATTTTTACATAATTTAACTTTTATTATTAATTTTATTGATTTCAGTGATTGACATTTAATAACTATATAAGACCATTAAGGAATGAATACAAGTTATTTTTGATCATTTCTTTCTTAGAATGTGAAATATCTTGTAAGATATTTGTATTTCTATTCTATTATTTTCATTTTAGTGGACGTTCCTTGTCTCTTTCTCTTGTGAATGGTTTGGTAGTAATATATATAAAATACAGTTTCATAAAGAATTAAATAATTAAAAAGAATTTAATAAAATTTAGAATGACGTAGAAAAGACTTTGCTTCTATTTTTCTAACAAGTACTTTATTGGAAAATGGAACTATGAATAAATCGGCTCATTCTACTTTATTATAAAGTTATATATATGCAAAGTTTCTCATACTTCACACACTTTTATTAAAAGAAAAAGAAAAAAAAAATAATACATCTTCCTTATTGAGAAATTATTATTACGAGAATTAAAATTTATAGGTGCCGATGAGATCATTTTTTTTTTTTTTTTTAATGTATGGTATAAATATGATACAGATGTTTAATAAATATATGAAAACTAACGTGTTTTCAATACATGTTATCGTCATTTTCTAAAACCGATTAAATCCTGAAAATATATTTACGTATATTTCTCCGAATACTTCAATTTTGAAATTAAAATATAATTTTTTTTCAATAGCTTAACGTTCATTATTTAAAAATATAAACTTACTTCTCACTCCTATTCTTCTAAACCATGTGTAAATTAGCAATCAGTAAAATTCTTAATTTCTTTTTCTAATTATATATATATATAAATTACCTATAAAAATTAAGTCTCCAGTTTGCCATAGCGTTGTTTGGGAAATTTGGAATTGCAATATGATGCACTTGTCCAAGATATTGTTCAACATTTTTCAAGATATTCCAGTTGGGTTGTAAATAATTTGTGGTATAATTCATAAATAATTTATAAAATTGCTGTGCAAATATTAAATGAGATGGCGACAATATGTTGTTTGAAAAAGAGTAAACGGAGATCGGATCGAACACTGTAAATGCCACAAGATGAGTAGGTATTGCAGGAGTAACATCGAACATTCTCCACACTACTGTAGTTGCAATCGGATGCACCTCAGATATCGGGGTATTCGATAAAACCGTATAATTTGAATGATGTTTAACTGCAATGCGAAAAGTAGCCGTAAATTCCGGTTCATCCCAACATGGAAATAACTGTCGAGCACCAATTCCCCGGAAACGTGTTGCAACCATCCACCTATAATCATTTAAAGACATATCTTAATTTTAATGTGAATTTTCTAAACATTATTGACACATAACTATTAGAAGATGTAGAATATACAGTAATCCATTTTGCAAATGATATTTATATTTAGAGAACAATTTTCAATATATTTAATTGGGATGTTATTTTCTCATATTATCTACATTTTTATAAATAAATTTTATATAATTTTTTATAATATTAAAGAGCTATATATTTTTATATTTTATTAAGAGATATTCTTTATAGTATATGTTTAGAAAATTTCCAGCATGGTAGTATAATCGGAAGAATTTTATAAGATCTAGTAATGAATTGTTTTTTCAACATACATTATATAACAATATTTTTAACATATCTTAATATTTACTCACTTTTTCTCTCCTATTTCGTTTAAATAGAACATTTGGAAAAAGTTTTTTGTCTCGTCATCTGCATTATGGTCAAACTCCATTTTCAGTGTGTAATTTCCTCGTGATAGTTCTTCGGCGAAGTAAAGAACGAAAATATGTGACGAAGGATTGTATGACTTTTCCACAAGATCAGTCGTTACATGCTCGCTGATATTAGATCGTCGAAAAAATATGTAATCACGAATTTTTATATAAGGTCTTTGTACATGGAAATCTATAGTTTTTGTTGGATGAACAATCCTGAAATCGATACTGATTTTGCCGGAAAAAAAAATTGTTTCGTAATGTATGATATGACTCATATTTGATAAATCTATCTTGATAAAATAGTGCTCCGGTATTATGTGCTTTGATAAACGGTAATTAGTGTCATTGTTGGAGACAACGCGCTCCGGTATTGTATAATCCGATATACGGTAATTGTTAAAGTTGGAGATCGTTTCCGAAGTCTCAATGTCGTCGATGACAAAAGCTGTTGCGCTGATAAATATTAGCCCCCTGCTTAATAATAGTATTAGGAATGCCATCCCAGTTTTCATTTTAGAGATCTGCAACAATATTTTTTTCTTGTAAAAGAGAAAGATAAATAGAATATAACATACAGTTTCTTAGCACATTTGCGCTGACTATACGACTCATTTTTCAATACACATTCTTCACTAATATACTTGAAACTTCACGAGATATATAATAGTATTGTTATAGATATATAATCAATATAATTTAACATCTTTTTGAAATTATTTTGCATTTAATAATTTATATAGAGTAAAGCACACGAAGAAATATATAACATATGAAAATAATCACACTTTGACCTGATTAATTTTACCATTTTACTGATTATATGTGATTTTATAAATATGATCATAATAGATCGAAGTATGTTTATAAGCATGGAATCTTCGTCTATTTTTTTTTTTTTTTTTTTTTTTTTTTTTTTTTTTTTATTGGAATGTATTAACCGAAGCAACAAAGACCGAACAGCCGCCAACATAAGATTACATTTATTTCAACTTCTTTTGATTGTCGTACATTTTAAAACAAATTGGACCGTAACGAATATTATGTTTATATTTGTTATGATACAGATATATATTTTTTAAAAACTAAAACTCTGAAATTTATTGTTTATATATTGTTTCTCTGCCAAAAATAATCAATTTGACATAATTATTAATCATAAATATGAATCAATTGCTATAGAAAAAGATGATAGATACACTAAATTTACTTACATTTACTAACACACATTATATAAATTACACACATATATGTATAACTTTTCGCAATATCCAACTATGTAAATTAAATTAGATAGTTTTATACCAATATTATTATTATAAAGTCAAGACTTTTTTCCTTTATTTTTCCTTCCTTCTGATAATGGAAAGAAATTGAAATCACGCGAATTATTTTGAAGTCTTTTTTTCAAAGACTCTCTCTCTCTCTCTCTCTCTCTCTCCCTCTCTCTCTTGAAAATACAATTAATTTATATGCATATAATTCGACATTCAATCGTAAGTAAAAATTTTTAGTGTTGTAGTTTGGTATAGAATAATGCATATGATAATGGTATAGAATTGCTAGCGTAAAACTTGTTTTGATATATTAATTCTTTGTCTTAAAATTATATACGTTTTTAAATTGTGTACGTATCTTTTGTTTTTAAAAAAGAGATATTCTGTTTTTAGTGACTTACCTTATATATTGATATTGTATATTGATTAAAATATTTCTTTATAATGATAGCTGTAGTTATTAACTGAAATTATCAAGGATTACTAATGCTAAAAGTTATCTATATAATCGCACGATCTTGTCGTTCGGACAGACCACCGAAAACTGACAACTCTATCGGGTATCTTGACTTGACCTGACGTTACAATAAGTACACAATGTCATGTTAGTAAATTCTAAAGTTGCTAATAATATATTGCTGGTCGATAAACACAGTCGAATATCAATATGTAAGAGACAAATAGACTCTTGCACACATATTTATATATTTAAAACTGTTTCTTGTTATTAATCTCTTGTTATTAGTTTTTCTCAAAAGATGAATACACATACGCAAGTTAAGAAAAAATTTTATTTTATATTTTTATATCAAGAGACGTGATAGCGTCTCGCTAAGTATATCTTTTGTCGTCGTTTCGTTTACTGTATCTCTTTCATAAAAAAGTTAATTCCCCGCGGCTTATTCACAGCAACTCACTGTACATCTTGTATAAAATAACAACATATTTAAAACCAACAAATTTCTTTTTTCATATATATTATTTAATTCTAATAAAACCATTTTATCAATTTGTATTAACTCGCACATGCTCTTATTGAATCATTATAGAATTTAATTTCTATTTTTATTTGCAATTGTTGTGCTATCAATATTATATATAAACTATCATTTATGATTTTAGATATTAGATTTTTGTATATATAAATCCATTCATAATATTATTCTTATTATTCATATATATACAGGGTGTCCGGTAAAGATTGTGCCAACGCTCGTGAGCGGGTAGAGCACAGTAATCTGAACAGAAAAGTCCTGTAACATTTTTTTATATAACGCTTAATAAAGGAGTTATTATTGAGTAAAATCTGGTCAATTAGCGCCGATTTTTAGCCGGACGCACGTCGGTGAGCCGCCCGCCTGATAGTATGCGGCGGCGCACACTTCACAGCGCGGGGCTCACTGACGTGCGCCCGGCTAAAGGTTGGCGCTGATTGGCCAGACTTTACTCAATAATAATTCCTTTATTACGCGTTATATAAAAAAATGTTACAGGACTTTTCTGTTCAGATTACTGTGCTCTACCCGCTCACGAGCGTTGGCACAATCTTTACCGGACACCCTGTATATTTTTTAAAAACTAAAACTCTGAGATTTATTGTTTATATATTGTTTCTCTGCCAAAAATAATCAATTTGACATAATTATTAATCATAAATATGAATCAATTGCTATAGAAAAAGATGATAGATACACTAAATTTACTTACATTTACTAACACACATTATATAAATTACACACATATATGTATAACTTTTCGCAATATCCAACTATGTAAATTAAATTAGATAGTTTTATACCAATATTATTATTATAAAGTCAAGACTTTTTTCCTTTATTTTCCCTTCCTTCTGATAATGAAAAGAAATTGAAATCACGCGAATTATTTTGAAACCTTTTTTACAAAGACTCTCTCTCTCTCTCTCCCCCCTCTCTCTCCCCCCCTCCCTCTCTCTCTTGAAAATACAATTAAATTATATGCATATAATTCAACATTCAATCGTAAGTAAAAATTTTTAGTGTTGTAGTTTGGTATAGAATAATGCATATGATAATGGTATAGAATTGCTAGCGTAAAACTTGTTTTGATATATTAATTCTTTGTCTTAAAATTATATACGTTTTTAAATTGTGTACGTATTTTTTGTTTTTGAAAAAGAGATATTCTATTTTTAGTGACTTACCTTATATATTGATATTGTATATTGATTAAAGTATTCCTTTGTAATGATAGCTGTAGTTATTAACTGAAATTATCAAGGATTACTAATGCTAAAAGTTATCTATATAATCGCACGATCTTGTCGTTCGGACAGACCACCGAAAACTGACAACGCTATCGGGTATCTTGACTTGACCTGACGTTACAATAAGTACACAATGTCATGTTAGTAAATTCTAAAGTTGCTAATAATATATTGCTGGTCGATAAACACAGTCGAATATCAATATGTAAGAGACAAATAGACTCTTGCACACATATTTATATATTTAAAACTGTTTCTTGTTGTTAATCTCTTGTTATTAGTTTTTCTCAAAAGATGAATACACATACGCAAGTTAAGAAAAAATTTTATTTTATAATTTTATATCAAGAGACGTGATAGCGTCTCGCTAAGTATATCTTTTGTCGTCGTTTCGTTTACTGTATCTCTTTCATAAAAAAGTTAATTCCCCGCGGCTTATTCACAGCAACTCACTGTACATCTTGTATAAAATAACAACATATTTAAAACCAACAAATTTCTTTTTTCATATATATTATTTAATTCTAATAAAACCATTTTATCAATTTGTATTAACTCGCACATGCTCTTATTGAATCATTATAGAATTTAATTTCTATTTTTATTTGCAATTGTTGTGCTATCAATATTATATATAAACTATCATTTATGATTTTAGATATTAGATTTTTGTATATATAAATCCATTCATAATATTATTCTTATTATTCATATATTATTAAGCTATACAGATAGAAATCATGAACCTTTATGCTATTGCGAATTTTTCTATAATTTTTTCTTACATGTTTCCTAGATATAAGATACAGACAAAATATGATTTTAAAAAATTACATAAGAAGTTCACTCCACGTTCTGCGATTTTAGCAGTGATGGTGGAAATCAATGTTTCTTCTAAAAGAGATCAACATTGCTTTATTTTTTTTCAAGATTCAGCTATTTACATAACTAATATCTAATCAATTGAATTCTAAGCAATATTTTTGGCCTTATACATGCATACACATACATACTTACGTAAAATAAAAATTCTAAATATTTTTTAGGAGAATTTCTTATATGTTCTGAGATTCTTTTATAGATCCATTTTAAGAATTGTGAGGAATATAAATTTCGTAAAGATTCTAGTTTAGTCCAACTTGTGTGTATCGTGTATATAAATTCATTTATAATATTATTCTTATCTAATGTCTATATACGTGTTAAACAAGCAAAGAAATAGCAATTTAAACGACTATATGTCTCTATATTGACTTTTAACAGATTAGAACAACGCGCGCGCTTTTATTTACGGACATTCCCCATTTTTTTTCCATGATTTTAACTTTTTCTTTTACAAACTGTCAAACTGGCAAAATTCGCATGATTTGACAGTCGCAAATAACACGAGTGAAGCAAATCGCAGCGCACAAGCAAGATAGCCAATCAGCATCACGGAAAAAGGGCTTCAACGCTTCGATATATTCGAGTTCGAGGTTTCATGTCTTTTTTAGAAAGGGACTAGAACAACACAAACGCGCGCTGCGCGCGCACCATTTATTCTTTTTCATTAAACATTTTTAACGATATATACACAAAATAATAACTGTCAAAATATACAATGACAGCCGCTCATGAAGTAAGCGCAATGACAGAACCAATCAGCATCGCGGAAAAGAGGCCTCAATACTTCGATACAAACTGAATTCACTCAGTTAACATGCCTTTTTTAGAGAGGGATAATTCTTTTCTACGTGCACCTCGGCTCCCACTCCTCAACACTCGGTCTAGATATACTATGTCTATGGATAATTCTCTTGATTGCTAACAATAGAATAATGTAGACAAGAGAAGATTGGAAAAAAGCAACGAGTCGAATGGTGGCAAATGAACTAATACAATACACATATTGTATTAAAATTCTTTTTGTAACGATCACATAGTTCTAAAAATAAATTACAGAATTTCGACTAAATATGTGCGTGTGTTTATATTACTTATTGGTATCAAATACAATAATATTTTGTATTATAACATATATATATCTTGCAACAAAATTATATAAATTTACAGATGTAGATGCTCCTCTATCTATAAATGAGAAACATTTTTGCACATTACAAACGTTTTGTGACACTTTTATCGTTGGATCCTGTCGGCGGTTATTTTAAATCTGTTCTTGAATTTGATTTTATAAAATAAATAATTATACAGTAAAAAAAAATCAAATAAAAGTCAATATTAAACATTCTAAGAATCTTTTCATTAGGGAAGTATTGCGTTTATTTAATTTATATTTATGTAAGCGATTCTTTTCAATAATATCGTAATTTATTAGTAATATGCTGAAGACGACCCCCCCAAAAAAACTGAAATATTCATTTTATATTTATTAAACCTTTGTTCTGTAATAAAATATGTGCTCTATTTACTGCCCTAGCTCTCATTTGCTATTTTTTATTTAACTTATGATTGTATTCACAAGAACTTATACTTTTAATTTATCACGATTTTTTTATATACGCTGACTGAAAAAATGCGTTGTACTCTTATTTCTTTTTTTTCATAGTCTTAATTATTATTTTGGAAATATAGTAATAAGAGTAATAAAAACGTGGATAACGTATCATAAAAATCAACTATTAAAAATAGATTAAAAACCGATTTCTTACATAAACGTATTAGGTTTTTAATTTCTTCTCACGTGGATTTTGTTGACAAATTTCAAAAATAATCTTATTTATCGCAGATCAATTAGTGGTTTTAAACATTCTAGAAATTTTTTCATTGGGAAAATATTGCGTCTATTTAATTTATATTTATATAAGTGATTCTTTTCAATAATGTCGTGATTTATCATTTATATATGATTTATTTATATTAATCATAACATTATATTAATTATTTCAAATATGCTAAAGATGACCTGAAAAAAAGAGACCGAAGCATTCGTTTTATATCTATGAAAAATCTTTATTCTATAATAAAGTATGCGCTCTATTTACTGCCCTAGCTCTCATTTGCCAATTTTTTATTAAATTTATAAAAAAAGTATAAATTTCCAGCGCCCCAGCCTGATAGAGTAATAATAGTGTCTTTTTAAGATTTAAGAGTAATTTAATTACATAAGCAATGTATGTATTAGATTATATTTTTCGATAAGAGCTCTCTCTCTCTCTTTCTCTCTCTCTTTTATATCTATGAAAAATCTTTATTCTATAATAAAGTATGCGCTCTATTTACTGCCCTAGCTCTCATTTGCCAATTTTTTATTAAATTTATAAAAAAAGTATAAATTTCCAGCGCCCCAGCCTGATAGAGTAATAATAGTGTCTTTTTAAGATTTAAGAGTAATTTAATCAATGTATCAATGTATGTATTAGATTATATTTTTCGATAAGAGCTCTCTCTCTCTCTCTCTCTCTCTCTCTCTCTCTCTCTCTCTCTCTCCCTCTCTTTTTCTTTCTCTTTCTCTTATAACGAGTTGTATCGAAAGAGCAGTCTTTTCTAAAGTGCCCAAATTTTAAAATTGAAGATCTTAACGATTCCATCTATTTGTATAAACATGTTTTTTTCACTTGAAAATATTAGACATCCTTGAAAATTTTCTCCATCAAGACATCCTTGATAATCGCTTTAGTAGTGAGAATAACTAATACGGAAAAGAAAAACGTACATATGAGGTCCACTATGTTACATGCTAGATGAAATGTAAACGATTTGTTACATAATATTTTAAGAAAAAAATTGTAAATAGAATCTAAATTTATTCATCGAATTGCATAAATATCATTTAATTTTTTGCCGTAAAAAATAAACATAATGGATGTAAAAATAGGATTTTTTAAGATTTTGTTATTAATTTTTGTGAAAAAAGATATACAAATATATGTAAATTGATAATAAAAAACAAAAATGTTAATCAATAATAAAAAACGAAAAAATCATCCAGCAAATAGAGCTTGCGACATATAACTTTCCTAACATTTCTAACATTTCATGTAATGATTATTAAAATCAATAATTATATCGATGAGTAACCGCGAGAAAAGACGCAAAGAGATCAATAATGAATCTCTTCGATAATCGATGATTGATTTCTTTTAAGCAAATAGAAATTGTAACATAAAGAAACAATGTCAGCGATATCAAGTTAAATTTTTTGGTGGAAGACAAAAAGAAAAATCGATGATGAAACTGTCGATGACACAGTTCAGAGTTTAATTGCAGCAACATTAAAAATAATAAAAATCATCAAAAAACAAGAATTTTATAAATAAATCAATTAATTACAAAAGAATCTACCGAAAAAGATAAATTGTATAATCACGATCTGAATCATAAGTTAATATCTGGCAATAGACGATCATTAAATGTAAAACTAGGTAAAATGGAAGAAACGTCTTCCCGAAAAAGGAATAAAAAAAAGATAAATAACGCAGTTCTCAGCGCACAGTTTTTTCTTGCACAGTACAATTCAGTCTTAGTACAATTTTATATAATCTTTTATCTTGTGTATTCTTGCAACCAACACCTGAAACAAAAACATCTTATTCTGTCAATTTTTTGAAAGAATTATTAAAAGTAGTAAGTCAAACTTAATTTTTCTTCTATTCTCTCTCTTCTCTTAGATTTAAGTAAATTTTCTTATTGTTAGTCATAAATTAATCCGTTGGTGCCAAATGGTAAACAGAAACATCGCTCTTTCAATGACGAAATATAAGTGAAATCGTCGGAATAAATAGGCAAAACTGAAAACTATTGGCACGGATATCTTTGACAAAATGTAAAATCGAATTTATTTAGCATTATATTTAACGTTACACGGCGTTCATTATGATATCTGCAGCAGAAAAATGACTAAACTATAAAAATATCTCGATAATAATATCTCGATATACATATTACATGTATTGTAGTTGAAAATAAAACATTGCGTTCTGTACATATTAGAGAATATATCGCATTAGTTTTGATCGTCACTTTGTACGCCGGAGTATACTGCCGCCGTGTTTGTTATTTTCTTCGTGTTGGGGCAAAACCGAGTACCTACACACCTCATGTAATGAAAAGAGGAGAAACTGTTATCCTTGTTT